ACCTGGGTAGGTTGTTCGTGGTGAGAGGATATGGAGAAAAGTTGGTTGTGACCAGCACCTAAGTTAGTAACAACCGAATCTGAGGTGGAGCACACCAGTGGTGCTGCCATTTATTTAACTGATTTTTAAAGATCTTCTTTCTTTGCTGATGATCAGGAAAAATGGAATATACTATGCCCAAAGTGCTGGGGCATCTTCCCAAATGGCTACAACTGGCATTAAAGCTCTGACTAGCCTGTAGTGCATCGCAAAGGGGAGAGGACATTAAAAAAAGGTTCCACCGTGCAGGTTGTATCTTGGAATTGAAAAGCTGGTGGAACACCTCTCTCTCTCGGAATCTCCTTCCATTTTATGGTCAGCCTGAAGAGCCCTGTTCCAAACATCTTCTTTTGCAGGATGCTAGCTAATTCAAATGGTATGGGGAGATGGGTTTTCTCAGTGGTTGTCTGGCTTTCATTGAGTGACCTCCTTTCTCCATGTTCTTCCATTTTTGCTATTAGGTGCTTTTGTAGGGCTCATTTGTTTCAAAAGGCCCTTTGAGAGGAGGCGTGCACTCTGGTTTTGCTAATGTTTGGGTTGTTTTGTTGTACATATTAGAGAAGTTATTTTAATTAATGTAAGCTGTTAGGAAAAGCGGGCTAGTCATATTTTAAATAAATACACATATAAATAAAATGTAAGGGTGAGAGCATGGAAAACAAGACAGTATCTCTGTTCAGACATCACACCAGACCATGATAAAGGAAGCTTAACTGATTGACAAACTATGGTTTGTCACTTATTGTTTGACCAGAACCAGAAATTATGGTTTGAAGTGGTTTGGTAAATCGTGGTTTGTGCTGTTTATGGCTTGGCATGATATCTGTATGGGCAAACCTTTCTCTTGGCCTTCAGAGACTGATCAATACCAAGGAGACAAGATTGAGCTTACGAAGCAGTGCCAAGATTACAACACACACACACACACAGAAGCAGCTTTTAAACCATGGCCTGTATGTTCTGAAAGCTCAAACCATGTGTTGCCTCCTAAATTATGGTTTGCAGAAATAATGTTTTGATGCAGTCTCTCTGTGAATGGGAACATTATTTCAGGTGTTCTTAAACTGGGTAATAGTTGCACTGTGAAGTTCTGGCTGTTGTAAAACAAGCTGTGATCTTGAAAGACAAAGATGTTCCAGAATATTTTGCTTTAGGCGAGAATGGCAGGAGTCCAGAAGCGCTGCTTTCGAAGATGAGGGTTGGGAAATTGCTATAAAGCAGTAGCAACTTTCTTTACTTTCCCTCACGGACCTCTCCTTGACAAACGAAGCAAACGTTGAAAGCTCCCATTTTAGCACATAGAGCTTTGGAACAGCTGATATCGTTAAAGGGTTCCAAAATCGTTACAGTGTGCTGCAGAAAAAAGGGAAAACATTGCCATGTAATCACACTCTCACCTCAATTCTTATGGACTGGTTTGCATTGCTGTCTCAAAGAATTGCAGAGGCAGTTGTGTGCTACTGTGCCGTAGTGTTTCAGAAAGAGAACGTTAGCCCGAGCTTGTAAGAATGGAGCAGGGATCAGTGCCCAGTTTTGATGTTCTGCATGGGTGGGTATCCTGAATGCTAAAACGCATTCCATTGATAACTTGCCCTGTGAGGAGCTTTTTCAATGGCTCCCTGTTCCCCCCGCCCCTTCGAGCTCTCAAAAGCTATTCTAAAGGCTCCCCCTCCCCCTATCTTTCTGAATAGATTTCCCTGCTCTGGAGAACTGAAGGGTTTTTCAAAGACCATGTTAACTTCTTTTCTTTATCAGTGGCTCACCAGCATTTGTGTCACTGGTGCTTTGTCGGTCCCAAAGTGATTCAGAATTTTTCTCGGTTCCATCAGAGACCTCTTCCCCACCCACCCCGCAAATGAGACATTAATTCCAAAACCCTTTTGTACTGAAATACGCACCAAATAACTTGAACTTCTGCACTCTTCAATAGCCTTCTTAACTAATTAACCCTGCTATGGTCACACTCTTATATATTTGCCTGTGCTTCGTAGTATTCTTCCCCCTGTGAAGATGGCTGATGAGGACCTACTCCCTTTTAAAAGTGCTGTTGAGGCCAAGTATGTAAATAGGTGGGGATGCGGGTGGCGCTGTGGGTTAAACCACAGAGCCTAGGACTTGCCGATCAGAAGGTCGCGGTTCGAATCCCCGCGACGGGGTGACCCCCCGTTGCTTGGTCCCTGCTCCTGCCAACCTAGCAGTTCAAAAGCACGTCAAGTGCAAGTAGATAAATAGGTACCACTCCGGTGGGAAGGTAAACGGTGTTTCCATGCGTTTCCGGCGTTTTCTGGTTCGCCAGAAGCGGCTGAGTCATGCTGGCCACATGACCCAGAAGCTGTACGCCAGCTCCCTCGGTCAATAAAGCGAGATGAGCACCGCAACCCCAGAGTCAGCCAATACTGGACCTAGTGGTCAGGGGTCCCTTTACCTTTACTTTTATGTAAATAGGTAGTACGGGATCCCTCTTCTCTTTGGCTTTCGAAAGCCACCATTTCTGTGACAGATTTGGCACAACCCCTTTCATCAGCACCATCCCTTCCTGCGATATTCTGAAGCCTGGTTTCCCTCAATATGTTTCGGATTATTCTTCCCGACAGCCCCATCCAGGCTGGGGGCTGATGGGAATTGTAGTTCAAAACATACAGAGGGCGTTGGATTGGGGGAGAGTATCCTATTGAAGCTAAGGATAAATATGTGGAAATTGACTGAACGTGCTGCTTATGTCGGGAGCTGTTTTGTAACGGAAGAGACCTTGAAAGGTGGGCTAAGAAAATGTCTCCCACGTGCTGAAATTTAGATGGTAATACAGTGGTATCTCGGTTTTCAAACATCTCCGCTGATGAACATTTTGGTTTTCTAACGCCATTAACCCCTGAAGGAAACCCCTGATTAGTTGAACTACAACTAATCCAGAATGCGGCAGCTAGACTGGTGACTGGGAGCGGCCACCGAAACCATATAACACCGGTCTTGAAAGACCTACACTGGCTCCCAGTACATTTCCGAGCACAATTCAAAGTGTTGGTGCTGACCTTTAAAGCCCTAAATGGCCTCGGTCCAGTATACCTGAAGGAGCATCTCCACCTCCATCGTTCTGCCCGGACACTGAGGTCCAGCGCCGAGGGCCTTCTGGCGGTTCCCTCGCTGTAAGAAGCCAAGTTACAGGGAACCAGGCAGAGGGCCTTCTTGGTAGTGGCACCTGCCCTGTGGAACGCCCTCCCACCAGATGTCAAAGAGAAAAATAACTACCAAACTTTTAGAAGACATCTAAAGGCAGCCCTGTTTAGGGAAGCTTTTAATGTTTAATAGGTTATTGTATTTTAGCGTTTTGTTGGAAGCCACCCAGAGTGGCTGGGGAAGCCCAGCCAGATGGGCGGGGTATAAATAATAAATGATGATGATGATTCTTCAGTTTTGAAACATCCCTTGGAAGTCGAACATGCCATGTGGCTTCTGCTGAGTGCAAGATCCTGAACAAAGAGTTAAAAGATAACCAGTTTCTTTTGTTAGTAGATAGCTTGGCACATTCCCTACTGTTATACAAAAGGCCCTTTGTATAAAGAGTTGGTCAAATATAGGTGATTTTCTGCCGTAGTAACTTAATAGAGGAGTAATGACCTCTGGGAGGAGTGCAGAGAGAAGAAAAGTCATGGTGCAATAGCACTAGCAGATGCCTTCATCTGCCCCAGCTGCAACAAAACATGTCTCTCCCATATCAGTCTTTACAGCCACAGCAGGCACTGTAACTGCCCAACAGTTTGACATCACCCCCAAAGGCGCACTTTTCCATTGTCTCATGACACAGGCGGATGCCAACCAGCTCATAGATCTCATTTGGAAGAAGAAATGAGTGCATAATATATAAGGAGCTTGATTATATGGAGGCTCATAAATTCAGTGGTCACGTCGCTCACTGGGGTAAAACAGCTTGAGAATAAACCTGCTCAATCCTGGCCTAACCTCAGTGGCTACCAGTTAGTTTCCCGGCCCAATTCAAAGTGCTGGTTTTGACCTATAAAGCCTTAAAGGGCTCAGGACCGCAATACCTCAAGGATCACCTCTCTCTATATGAACTGACCCGGAAACTGATAATCACCTGAGGCCTTCTTCGTGTGCCCCCTCCATGAGAGGGTGGCAACACGAGAGAGGGCCTTTCCTGTGGTGACCCCTCACTTGTGGAATACTCTTCCCAGGGAGGCTCGCCTGGTGCCCCCGTATCTTTAGGCGGCAAGCGAAAACCTTCCTCTTCTCCCAGGTGTTTGGCGAACTAAACAATCTATGGCCTTTTAAACTGTGTGTGTTTGTGTGTGTGTTGCAAAGCGTATTGTTTTTCTTTGTTACTATGTTATGTATTTTTGTGTTTTTATATTGTATGATCCTTGGATGAAGGGCTGCATAGAAGAAATAAGAATAAGAATACAGCAATAATATTACCCCTCCTTAAAATGTGGCCACACGTATTCAGGTGATTATAGAGACAGTATTATTATGAGTGAGGTGCTCCAGTGAAGTTGTTGAGACTTGTAACCCCCCCCTTTTTTTTAAATGCATTTATTAGCCTCACCCAGTCCTGTGATTTTATAGCAGTAAGGTTTGCGTATGCAGAAGAGGAGAATTGAAAGAAATGGTCAAACCTGGCACATTCCCCTGCCCCACTTTTTAAAAAGAATGAGTATTTTCATAACTGAAGAGCTTGTCAAGTATAGCTGATTTGATTTGTATAGCTAATGGTCACAGAAGTCATGTGGAAGCAGTAACCACCAGCATAATGCACACTATGTCATTATATTATAAATAAAAACTCCTTTTTTGTTGGAGCCAAAACTTAATTCACCACCAAAATCACAGAGCGTATGAGATGGGGAATGTTTTGTTCTGGGGTGTTCTTTGGGATCCCAGAGCACCCCAGTTCATGCGTAAATGAATATTTGGAGAATTTCCAACATTTCTCCTTGTAACCTTGTGCCATATCTGGGTTCCATCCTGACTCATATGAATGGCTGTGTTGCTATACTTTCTCAGAGTCTTACTGCATAAGCTTTCATGGACTAGGGTCCAGTTCATCAGGTTCTTGTAGGGTTAAGATGAGGTACAGAAATATATACATAGAATTGTTGTGGTGGTTGGTTGTAAGCATTGAAGTCTGAAACAAAATAAATACAGAAATCGTTTATGGTTAACACAAAACAACTGTTGATAATGCAAACATCTTTGGCACTGGTAAACCAATGAACTTACATAGTGTGATTAAAAACACATACACACACCATAGGGTTCATTGCAGTGTGTCCTGGGAAGCTGGATATCGTGGTTTCTGATAGCAGATTTGCGTCCTTTTATTATTTTGCATGCAAAAGTGGATAGCTAGCAGATGATGGCATATATATCACATTGGACTATAAGCAGGTGAATGAGCCCCCGGTGTAGTGGATGACATCAGGACATGTAATAGGTCCTGCCATGTAAAATTGATTCCTCCCAGAATAGACACGGGGTCCAAATTTGCATCTGGCTTTGCTGGAGTGTCTTATCCCTGGGCTCCTGTCTCTGTTATATGGCTAGTTGTTGATGATGGGCAAGTGTTTTAGGTTCAGGGACTGTGTCTGAGCACATTCAGACAAATGGCAGACAACCACAGTCAAAACCATTCCTGTTTATCACATTGTGCCCGTCCTGCGCAATGACACTTCTCTCCCACACAGGACTAGGACTCAAAGGAGGGAGGTTTCCTCCTGTCTGCTTTTTTTATTAAAAAACCCCCAAAATATTGTTTACAGGACACAGCCCTTTGGGAAGCAAGCAAAAGCCATGTAGGAGGTGATTTTTCTGCAGAGCTTTAATCCAAGTTGAGAGTACATTCAGCGTTAATACCCACATTGTTTCTTCCCCGCCCCTTTATTAAAAAGAGCTGCTTCATGCTTATTTAAACAAGTGGCTAAGATCACATGTAGTTTGGCCTCACAGTCTACCCCTGGCATGTTTTGTTGTTGGTTATATTGTTGGAGCTTTCTTTCTCCCTCACTTAAAAATAACTGGTTTTGGGTCTTATTAAGCAGGATGATGTTAGCATTCTGCAAGCAATTTTAAGGAGCATGCTGGGATGTCAGCTAGTTGTTGTTGTTGTTGTTTAGTCGTTTAGTCGTGTCCGCCTCTTCGTGACCCCCTGGACCAGAGCACGCCAGGCACTCCTGTCTTCCACTGCCTCCCATAGTTTGGTCAAACTCATGCTGGTAGCTTCGAGAACATTGTCCAACCATCTCGTCCTCTGTCGTCCTCTTCTCCTTTTGCCCTCCATCTTTCCCAACATCAGGGTCTTTTCCAGGGAGTCTTCTCTTCTCATGAGGTGGCCAAAGTCTTGGAGCCTCAGCTTCAGGATCTGTCCTTCCAGTGAGCACTCAGGACTGATTTCCTTCAGAATGGAGAGGTTTGATCTTCTTGCAGTCCATGGGACTCTCAAGAGTCTCCTCCAGCACCAGAATTCAAAAGCATCCATTCTTCGGCGATCAGCCTTCTTTATGGTCCAGCTCTCACTTCCATACATCACTACTGGGAAAACCATGGCTTTAACTATACGGACCTTTGTTGGCAAGGTGATATCTCTGCTTTTTAAGATGCTGTCTAGGTTTGCCATCGCCTTTCTCCCAAGGAGCAGGCATCTTTTAATTTTGTGGCTGCTGTCACCATCTGCAGTGATCATGGAGCCCAAGAAAGTCAAATCTCTCACTGCCTCCTTACTTTGTAGTAAATTCCACTAAGTTCAATTGGAATTACTTTCCAGTAATTGTGATTAGGATTGCCACCTCAGTCTAGTAAAAGGATTGAGGCTTAGCCATACCACGTACTGGGGAAACATTCTCTTTATGCCTGTGCCAGCAAAATTTCTCTAATTATGAAAGCACTTTTGTGGTGAGATCATGTTGGTTAATTTCATGTGCTCAAGAAACACAGAAATGTATCCAAAGCTCTGAGTATGTGCTACCTGGGTGCTTGCTGCAAGCCATATTTGCAGAGTAGGCTTCTGGATTAATAATGTATTACATTATTCAACTCGGTGTAGTGCAGAATCTCAGGGCTGGTAGAAATATTATCAATTTATAAAGTGTCAGATGCGTTTCTGACATTGTACAAAGGCCAAAGGCTAAGAGTGCTCTGAAGATCAGAGCCTGTGTAAAGATATGGCAAGGATATGGGGATGATAATAATTATTCATAAGAATATCTAAATGTACAAACAGAGATGTGTTCACTCATTACTATTGTAAAGAAAGGCTTCTCATGGGATCTGACCTTCATGGTTGTTAGAAGTGTGTGTATATAACACACACAAAAACATATACATTCTCCTTCCAAGGTCTCCGAATACATTAGGTTTTTCAGGAAGTGAACCTCCATTTGCTGGTCAGATCTAAACCCACCTACCTTTAGAGAAGAATTTAAAGGGTGGTAGCCAGAAGTTCATTTCTTCAATGTCCTTCTAGCCCTTCAAGCTGTTGATGTTTGTCGTGTCCGCCTCTTCGTGACCCCCTGGACCAGAGCATACCAGGCACTTCTGTCTTCCACTGTCTCCCGCAGTTTGGTCAGGCTCATGTTCGTAGCTTCAAGAACACTGTCCCACCATCTCGTCCTCTGTCGTCCCCTTCTCCTTGTGCCCTCCATCATTCCCAACATCAGGGTCTTTTCCAGGGAGTCTTCTCTTCTCATGAGGTGGCCAAAGTATTGGAGCCTCAGCTTCAGGATCTGTCCTTCCAGTGAGCACTCAGGGCTGATTTCCTTCAGAATGGAGAGGTTGGATCTTCTTGCAGTCCATGGGACTCTCAAGAGTCTCCTCCAGCACCAGAATTCAAAAGCATCCATTCTTTGGCGATCACCCTTCAAGCTAGACAGGATGATTTCCCCCTTGGGTAGCTTTTGCTGTCCATAGAACGAATCAGAAAGAAACTGACCATAAGTCTGTTTTTTGACATTTTGTAATTCGTGTGGTGGTGGTGAACTCCCTGTGAACAATTCAACAGGATACAGGTAGAACAGAATGTTGTGGTTTGCCTTTTGGAGAATGGCTCATCAGGTTGACCCAGAGTTTCACTGGCTACTGACAGACTTAGGATGCCATTCAAGATGTGGTTTCTGACCTAGAAAGCCCTAAGTAATTTGTGCTGTGTGATTTAAGCATTCCCTTTTCGGCATGGCAGCCAACGCTGACATTTCACGGGTTGATATGGCACCATAATGGTTGATATGGCACCATAAGCTACAAAATCTTTGTCACGTCCTAATCTTGGATGTCGTCAGCAGCAATACAATTTAGTCATGACTTGAACATCTCCCGTTTCTGCGTGGCAGGAAGAGAGTTCTTAGCTAGGATAAAAGTGTAGCCTGTGGCAAGCAAGACATATCTGAATCTCCCTCTCCTTCTATAAAGACTCGGGAGGATATTATCTGGGTAGGGAAAATACATGCCTTTTGCCGGCAGAGGCATGCTATAAATTCTGCAAAACCCTTCATATACAGTATCAGTACCCTCGGGGATGACAAAAGAGGGCTGGAAGCCTTCTTTGTTGGAAACATTTGTAGAGAGACGCTTTTGAAGGATCTAGAGATGCTATAGAAATCCAAGCACTGGTACTTCTGTTGCCACTCCAGTGGGGAAAACTCTCCAGTCATTCATTACTCATGCACTAATAAAGTCACTTCAGATTTAAATGGGTTAAATGCTGCTGTTCTTTATGGACCTATTAACTAACCAGAGTCTGGGGTGCTTTGCCCTAAACTCCAGTTGATAATCTGCAGGTGTTAGGACTGAAACATCACACTTGGAAGTTTCAGTGTATTTAGATAACGTAGCAGCTGTGAGATATACGCCTTGGAGCTGCTTTCAGAACTTGGCTATCTGATATGGTCTGGAGTTACTTGGATGCTGGAAAGGTTCTCATTCTAACTCTGGAGTCCAACTGAATATTTGTGTTGTTGCTTTTCTCGCCCAAGTGATTAGGGTGAATTTACTGATATGTGAGTCGTATATGGATATGTAAAACTCCTCACCACCACCACCACCCGCCCGTCGTTTCCACCGCGGCTTCATATTTGCAAAGCATAACCCAGGCAGAAAGGTCCTTAAAGGAAATAATCCAGTTTTACAGTTTTCCTGAGAGCTTCTTCCCCATGGGGGCAGCCATGTCCACAGCAAGAGCAGCCACTGCAGTGCTCAGAAAGTCATATCATTTTGAGGATTATGTTGCTGAGTATTTTTGTGTCTTTGCAACTCTAAAGCTTTGCTAGGTTGTGAGATAATGGTTTTCTTAAGAACACACTGAGAACCTCCTGAGTAGTGTAGGAATCTGTACTCTGATATCCCCAGTAAAAAAAAAAACCGACACACTGTCCAACAAATTACACTGGCTGTCTGGAGCTTTAGGGATGCAGTTAGGACATGGTCCTGTGAAATGTTTGGGGAATCTTACCATTAACTCAGAAATTCATTGCCTTTTGTTTTTAAAGGAGAATTGCTAAAAAGATGGGAAATGTTGTCTTGGGGCCTAAGCTTTTATATAGTGAGACCTTAGTACCAAAGGTACTACCCAACATCCTATTAAACACCTCTTTTGGGAACTTCAGGGGCTGAAAGAACATGCCATTCTCTGAAGACATGTCTGAGGTGAATTAGCCTTAAATGGCCCCTGGACACCTGAAGATTTCACACGTTCCTTTCTTTGTCAAACTATATATTTTCCCTCAAGTTTGGGGTTCTGCTATGTGCTCTGTTTCTCAATGGATTTATGACGGATTCACCCTCAGGGGAATGTACTGCTCAAGCTTGTTGGAAGGCTGTACACAAAAACCTCCCTCAAAGAATCGATCTCAAAATCCTGTGGGTGTAGAGTTACCAGATTTTTCATTTTGCTTCGGAGTCTTGGGGGATGTCAAGCCCCACCTCTGAGATAATCCAATCGATCTCTGGGCTTTCAGCTTAGGCCAGGTGTTTTCACAATGAGTGTTACTTTCTCAAGGCATCTGAGCGTGCGTGCCAGGTAAAACGAGGGAGAAAGTGCAAAAGAAGACTCTGCAATAACAACATGAGGAGGCCATGTTGACTTTGCAGCTGCTCAGTATTATTTATTAAAATAGCCCCATGTTTCCTTTCTGAGAAAAGACCATCTAAGGCCAGGGAACAAAATACAAGTGTAAAAATGCAACAGTAATCAAACTTTAAAATACAAGAAAACCAATGAATTAAACTATATTTTTTCAAAAAATTCCAGAGCCAAAGTATTAAGATGTCTCCAAACTTAACCAACAAAATGCACGCAGCACTGAGGATAGGAGGAGGCAGCAGGTTGGTTTAGGAATGGCGGATGGGATATTGGAAGTGTGCGTGTGTGAGTGGATCTCTCAACTCTTTATATTTATATTTCTTTAGAAGGCATTTATGATGGTGGCCTGATTTGGATTTGGGCTGTGATACTGAGGGACCTTCCCCACTCAGTACCATTTTGCTGAGGTAAATTGGCCAAGGGGCAGGATAAACTCTTGATCTTGCAGGCACACCCTGACACATGGATTGTTTAACTTATGATCTCAGAGTTTCAACTCTGTTTTCAGCAAGCGCTTCAGTTCTTGGCTGGTAGTCCTGGTGCATACTTCGTGTCCATCAGAAGTGAGAGGGTGTGCATCTTGCCCAGGAGAAGGTGGAGACTGGGCCTTGTTACCACCTCCGTTTTGTCTGAGCTCCAGTGCTTCTTGCCACACTCCAACCTTGTGCCTAATAATGGGAACGGGAGCTGCTTGGTCAAGAGAAGAGGGAGACCGTTGCCATCCTTCTCCTAGCTATGAGGCACTGGGGAGGAAAAGTCAGTAGGAAGTGAGGCATCATTTGGGTGTTACAACTAGGGTTTGGAAGAGGAGCAATTAATTGAAACAATGGGCTTAAACATGCCTAACTTTGCATGAGTTCAGGTCAAAAGCTTCACATACAGCACTGTCTTCTCCCAGGAGATTCTTACTTGCTAAATTAAAAGAACCTACTCCTTGCTAGGTAGTCGGGGAGGGTCTTATTAGAATACTGACTGTAATTTATACTGGGTTGAGCCCATTGTTTAGAAATACTAAGAAAGGGAAGCATTGGCATAACTGCGATTCTTATCTGCAGAGACTGCTTCCTCATATATCGCAAAACAAAGACACCAAGTCTGTGAAACCACTGAAGAATCAATACAAAGCCATACCTCTTCTTCCAGATAGCCGGAGCAATGATAATAAAATTTCCCTTTACAATGGCAAGTCTTCTGCAGATGTGCTGGCTCCACCAGTTTTATCCTTAACACCCGTCTATTTTGGACCATCTGTTCTTCATGATGCTGAGAGGGGATTAGAGATTTGCTTGATATTGTCCTCAGTCATCACCAGGAGGGCAGCATTGGTGTGAAATTAGTTCCAGTTGCATCAAATTAAATACTTAAAACAACGCAACAACTATGCAACAAGCATCTTGAAACTGTCCCAGAAACTCCAGCAGGTGCAGAATGCTGCAGCGAGACTCTTCACGGGGTCCCTGCCATGGGAGCATATTCACCCAGTGCTTTACCAGTTGCGCTGACTCCTGGTGGAGTATAGGGTCAGGTTCAAGATGCTGGTTTTGACCTTTAAAACCCTTTGTGGTTTAGGGCCCTTGTATTTACGGGACCACCTCTCCTGGTATGCCCTGCAGAGGACCTTGAAGTCCATGAATAACCATAGTTTAGAGGTCCTGGGCCCTAAGGAAGTCATACTATCCTCCGCCAGGGCCTTTTCAGTGATGGCTCCAACCTGGTGGAATGCTCTGTCCCATGAGACTAGGGTGATGAGCGCCGCAACCCCAGAGTCGGCCACGACTGGACCTAATGGTCAGGGGTCCCTTTACCTTTACCTATTGTGACAGATAATTTGTTGCAGCTGGAGCAGATGAAGGCGTCCAGTTGTGCCGCTGCAGATGCCTTGGAAAGAGGTAGTTGCCATGAATGAATTGAATTTGCAAGTGCCCCCACCCATAGGTCAGCCTCCCCATTCTGCAGGCTTTAGCTCAATCCACTCTACCCCACCAGCTTTACAAAACACCAAGCTTCTACTTGGTATGGAAGTATGTTAACAGCTTTGATGATAGGAGAGCATTTCTCCAAAATGTATGGTCTATTCTACTTGTATGATAGACTTGCATCTTGTGTTCTGCAAGCATGTAGTAATGTTTCTGGTTGCTGCTGGGTATGGACCTCCTCAACTGATACAAGGGGGAAGCAACTCTCGCAGATCAGCAGTCCACTCATATATACCTTGGGTTCTTCTTCTTGTTATTGCTGCCTTTTCTTATGCTTCATGGGCTTTGATCAGCATATATATGAAATGCCATTTCCCCCAGAATTTTCCAGTAACTAGAGTGCCTTGGAATGCATGTACAGTGGTACCTCAGGTTACATACGCTTCAGGTTAAAAACGCCTCAGGTTACAGACTCCGCTAACCAAGAAATAGTGCTTCAGGTTAAGAACTTTGCTTCAGGATGAGAACAGAAATTGTGCTCTGGCGCCGCAGCAGGAGGCCCCATTAGCTAAAGTGGTGCTTCAGGTTAAGAACAGTTTCAGGTTAAGTACGGACCTCTGGAATAAATTAAGTACTTAACCCAAGGTACCACTGAATACTGACTTTCAACTTTATAGCTAGCGTATCTAAGCAATAGCTCCCATGAACGTTGTTCTCATTTTGGGGATACAGTTTTTGTCGTCCTGAGTTGATAGAGAGGATGTCCAAATGTCCCCCGTTCTATTTTTGTTTTCATAATAAATGAAAACAACAGTCATTTAAAAGAAATCACGAGACAAACGGCAAACTCCATGGTTGAGCAATGGCTTTATTAGGACTATCAAAGGGTTGCCAGAATCACAAGCAAGCTTTCAAGTTCTCCAGAATGCCTCATTAGGTTGGATGTTAAGCAATAGCAGGGGGGAGTAAAAGCTGAAAACAGCTGGCTCGAAATCTGAAGCCTGTATTTAGTCACAGCCTTAGATGGAATGTAGAAGACAACATCTCAAGTTGGATTGGCAGTTATATTTTGCAGTGATCTTTCATATATAAAGTCCTATTTTTCTACTCTTATATAGGACAATTATATTAATGGAGTACTTTCATAAAACCAGCACAGCTCTTAACTTTTAAAGGAAATCATTTTAAGCTTTCTAACAGCAAGTGTGTCATGTATAGGATATTTTGAAAGGTTTTGTGTTAGTTCAACAGGATTTTATTTTATTTATTGCATTGCTTTGCATTGCTATCCCACCTTTTCTCCAAGGAGTTCAAGGTGGTGCACGTGTCGCCCCCCCCCCCCATTAAGCCCCACAGCAACCCTGTGAGATAGATTAGGCTGAGAGGCCGTGACCAGACCAAGGTCACCTGTGAGCTTCATAACCAAGTGGGGATTCAAATCTCCCAGGTCCTAGTCTGACACTCTGACTACTACACCACACTGTTTTGGGGGGTGCATCAACGTCTCAATATTGAAAAGGTAAAGGGACCCCTGACCATCAGGTCCAGTTGTGACCGACTCTGGGGTTGCAGCGCTCATCTCGCTTTATTGGCCGAGGGAGCCGGCGTACAGCTTCCGGGTCATGTGGCCAGCATGACTAAGCTGCTTCTGGTGAACCAGAGCAGCGCACGGACATGCCGTTTACCTTCCTGCCGGAGCGGTACCTATTTATCTACTTGCACTTTGACATGCTTTTGAACTGCTAGGTTGGCAGGAGCAGGGACTGAGCAACGGTAGCTCACCCCGTCGCGGGGATTCGAACTGCCAACCTTCTGATCGGCAAGTCCTAGGCTCTGTGGTTTAACCCCCAGTGCCACCCACATCCCTCAATATTGAAAAAGACACACACAATTGTTTCATTTCCAGAGTTTGCCTTAGAATCACAGAATTGCAGAGTCGGAAGGGACCATGAGAGTCATCTAATCCAACTCCCTGCAGCACAGGGATCTTTTGCCTAACATGGGGCTCGAACCCACAAGCCTGTGATTAAGCATCTCAAGGTCGCTGACTGAGCTAGCTGTGTCCCAAATTTTAGGTATCTGTATCGTGGAACTACATTTACTGTTTCGGACAGGAGCCTTCTGAGTGAGTGAGTTCATCTCTGTACGCCCTGTTATTGGCAAGACATGGATGAAGAATAGAAGGGCCCTCTCTCTGGTTCTCTACCACCAGTTGGTAAAGGCATTTTTTTTCCAGAAGTCTTTTTTCCTGCTAAAGTCATTTTTACGTGTTTGATCACTGCAGTTGTTGCTTTTAAATAAAAAATGTAATGTGCATTTTACTTGCTTTGCATTTTGTGTATTGTTTATTAAGAATATATTTTATTGCAATTCTAAATTGTTGTTGGCTCTCCACCCGGGTGTTGCGAGGGCCACCTCTTCTTTAAAGATACCCCCTCAAAAAGGGTTCTGAAAATTTTCCCACCCCAGCCCAAAAGTCACTGATATTTTCCCCTCCCTTCTTCATGGGGGGGCTTGAACACTCCCAGAAAAGTGAGGGGTATAATCTGGGCTAGAGATATTCTGAACAAACACCTTTCAGGAATAATTCGGCAAAGACATTTCTGGAACACTAGATTACAGGGAGATTTCTCTTCAGCTTTTCCATGCCTAAAAGGAGTCTTGATAAAGATATAACATGAGGGCATGGCTGTGCAAGAGAGACTCATGTGAAAGAGAATTAGCCACCCGTGTATTGCAGTAGAAAGGAAAAAAGAATTACTTTGCTTACGCCTCAGGCTACAGGTCTAAGCTGCTGCACTTAATTTTTTGTTCTTTGTAAGAGCGGAGTACACTACGCATTGATGTTGCTTTATACACTGGGCGCATAAAGGTGCCTCTGCCAAGAGGGATGTCAGGAAAGCCGTGGTGAAAATTGATTTGTTATAAAATAAATTAATAAATTACTTCTCGGCTTCAAAAAGGCCGGCAAAAGCAACTTGCACAAAAGTGCGACATGCATTCATGTGCATGTTCAGGTGAAATAGAAATTCTTAAAAGGTCCACTGTCAGAGATTGACACTCAACCAGGGGAGAAAATGAAGAGAAATGCTCTGAACTGCTTGGAGGAGGAAGACTTGGACCTAAAGGCCACAACTTCATAGACTCATACCATTGTAGAGTTGGAAGGGACCCTGAGGATCATCTAGTCCAACCCCCAGCAAGGCAGGAATAATGCTTGGCGTTATCAGCGCCGTGCTCTAACCGACTGAGCTATTCGTTTGTGTATGAATGGGTGCAGCAGTCATCTTCCAAACTAGCCATTGAGATGCTGTCCTCGTTCCCTTTTTTTGTGGAGAGCATGAATGCATGTATTGTGGAATACATGATCTTCTGACAGATTGATAAATGGTGCTGATCACCAAGGGCATTTAGGTGTACGCATGAACAGATGTAAAAGAGGAATATGACAAACATGTTTATGATGCAGGTACACTTGTCAGGGAGCGCTGCTTGGAGCACTGCTTGCCTCAAGCTGCCTTTTAGGTATAAATTCAGCGAAAGCTTGTATTAAAATTAATTTCACTAATTTTTGCGTTTTTATTTTTGCTTCCCTCTGATATACACATCTTTCTGCACATTTTCTGTTGGAGGACTGCGTTGCAAAATCCAGAGAGGTGCAAATTACAACAAATACATTTTGGGTCACATATTTCTCCAGGAAGAGCACATTGTGGAGGTTCAGTTCGGCTCACATTTTAATGTAGATCCCCCCCCCCCAAATCTCTACTCTGAAGTAATATGAAATAAGTTATTTCAATGAAAGAAAAAAAATGTATTTCATATTGTGGCATTTGCCCGTTCGTTTAGAGCCTGTCTGTGCAGGGGGAAAAGAAAGGGTTAAAAATGTAGACCAATAGGAAAGCTGGAGGTGGAGCCTACATGTGTATAAAAGGGCTTAGCCCGAGGTTTGTTAGAGTTGTTGGTGGGTAGTTGGTGGGTTTTAGTGGGTTGGCTGGTTGGGAAAGGCAGTTGGAAAAGCAGTTGGCAGGCAGTTGGTAATAGAGAGACAGTTAGGACAGTGGGTTCTTGAGTGAGGGGAGGGAGAAGAGATAGAGAAAGGAAAATAAGACTAAGAAAGTAAAGAGCAACAACATTTGGAATGCCGTAAAAGTTTGTGTCTGAAATAAAATGCTGTTGTTTAGTCATTTAGTCGTGTCCGCCTCTTTGTAACCCCCTGGACCAGAGCATGCCAGGCCCTCCCGTCTTCCACTGCCTCCCGCAGTTCAGTCAAACTCATGCTGGTAGCTTCGAGAACACTGTCCAACCATCTCACCCTCCATTGTCCCCTTCTCCTTGTGCCCTTCATCTTTCCCAACATCAGGGTCTTTTCCAGGGAGTCTTTTCTTCTCATGAGGTGGCCGAAGTATTGGAGCCTCAGCTTCACAATCTGTCTTTCCAGTGAGCACTCAGGGCTGATTTCCTTCAGAATGGAGAGGTTTGATCTTCTTGCAGTCCATGGGACTCTCTAGAGTCTCCTCCAGCACCAGAATTCAAAAGCATCAATTCCAATCTTCTTTATTAATTGAACCTGACTGAGGCTGAAGTGATTTTACCAGGGAGGACCTGGTTGGTGGCAGCGGATTAGTGGTGTACGGGTCAATAGTTCGTGAGACGACCAGGGGCTCCGTACGAACGCCACACACATATATAGGACCATATAAATCAATAATCAATATAAGTGCCATTTGAATGTAGATCTGTGGCTGTAGTATGCAGTTTTCAGAGCCCAAATAACTGCTTTATCATTTCATGGCAGTGCTGGAACCTGCAAATTAATCTTGATGCTGCGTTGAGATATTTATGCATTGGATAAATTAGCAGTCAGTGATTTTGTCTCAAAACTTTGAATCATCAGCACAGATTGGTGCAAAAGATTAAGTAACATCTTATTATATCTCTTACAAAGATTAAAAGACTGTAGGCCCAATGTTAGCAGCTATCCTTCCTCCAGTTTGTACAGTACTCCCATTTAAATTTTAACAAGTGCTTAGCAGAGGCCTTGAGAGAAATAAAGTGGCTTTCATTATGCAGGAAGCCTGCTAGATGTCTTCCATGGGTCTCTGCATCCATGAATGAACACTTTTCTTTGCGTTTTGTCTCTTGTTTCCAGCAAGCCTTTCTATGATTGGAGCAAATGGGAGAGTCGGAGGGATCAATATAATTTTCCTTTGTGCTGCTAGGCATTGCTGCTCTGTGTTGTCGATCTCTGTTCGGGTAACAATATATGTTGAAATTAAATTGCCTCTTCTGCACAACTATTAAAGTGCCAGGAATCCTGCCTTCTTTTTCATCTGACCACTTAGCTTTCTTACTATCCGCCCCCCAGTGCATCTGCAAATAACTGTTTAACTGGCTGTTTAACTGATGCCTCAAATTCAAATGGTGGCTGAATTTTCAGACATTAAAAAAAAAAAAGTTTTCCAATATACCCCCAATAATAGCCAAATTATAACAATAACAATTAATTAAATTTTGCAGTGATCTTTCATATATTTTCAGACATCATTATGCCTACCCACCACAGTTTGCTCTAGCAATGGCTACAAAAAAAAAAGGTTTTACTAAACTGTGTGAAACAATTTTATTAGGCCAGAAGATAAAGACCTGGTTCTTACATGGTTGCTGCAGCCAGAATTATTTTTGCCAAACATTACTGAAAATCAGATAATGGATTGATAAAATTCAGGATCTTGCAGTTTTGGCCAAGCTGACAAATTGAGAAGGAAGACAAAGTAAAATGGCATAAATTTACTGATTATAGTGAAGGACCTGTTTTACAGCCAAATAATAATTATGGTTTTGCAATACACTAATATTTATGAAGAAGTATTATGGGAAATAGATATAAATATGCTTATTTATCTTTAGAAATATTAGTGAAATCTGTTAATCCATGGCCTTGATTTGTTTATCGTTTGGGATATAAAGATCGAAATGATCGAATACATCCTTCTGTTAGGCTCTTGTAATTTCTGCTCATAGATGAAGCAATTATAGTTTTGTTGCTTATGCTTTTAATTTGTTTTGTATGTATGTTGCTGGGAAATATGTATGTTGCTGGGACAATAGCAATAAATAAAAGTGAAAATGCTAATGTTTAGAACCCAGACCATATTTCAGATCCCCAAACAGGTAGCCAAACCGCGGTTTTAACAGTGGCTTATTGGAGACCAAGTTCTGTGAAGAAGTATTGAGGGAATTGGGTATATTAAGGCTGGAGAAGAAGAAAAAACCAGTGGCAATATGATCACTGTCTTCAAATATTTGAAGGGCTTTCGCATAGATGGAGCAAAGCCAATTGGTTCAGATACTAAGAAAACAATTAGATTTAGACTAAGTAACGATTTTCTTGATTGTTCAAAATGCTTGACAGTAGAACAGACTGTCTCGAAAGGTTGTTCACACTCCTTTGTTAGAGGTTATTGAGCAAAGGTGGTTGGCCACTTATCAGAAATGCTGTAGTAGTGGATTTTGTGGATTGCCAGGGATTTGACTATACAGTGGTAGCTTGGTTCTCAAAATTAATCCATTCCGGAAGTCCGTTCCAAGGCGAGACCATTGATCCATACAATGAAAGCAATAAACAATGTACTGCAGTCACACAATCAATCAATCAATCAATCAATCAGTAGCTGAACTGGGTTCCACACAGTCACAAAAGCAAAACAAAAAAGCTGCAAAAACGCAAAATAATTAGCAAAAACAGACAGACCCAAAACAGAAGTGTGGCACTCAAATCGGAAGAGTAACACTCTAAACGGAGCACGTTCAGCTTCCAAAAAAAGTTCGCAAAGCAGAACACTTACTTCCCGGTTTGCAATGTTCGGGTTCCAAGTTGTTTGAGTAACAAGGCATTTGAGAACCAAGGTACAACTGTATGGCCTTTGAGGCCCTTTTCAGCTCAGATGCTGTGATTTCAAGCTTTCCGTATCTGAAGATTTTGGAAGACTATACCTCCAAATTTTACATAAGAGCTGAAATACTCTTTTTAAATTTATCTCCCAACTTCCAGCAGGAACTTCCAAGGCAGCTACACAAAAACACCAACATTTAAATTTAAGAATGACATATTGGAAATCCCAGCAACAAAATTAGAAGTAAAACCTGTGAATGGAGACATTATGGAGGATGAACTGGTAATTATTCAAAACAAACCTTTTAGACTGAGGTTTTGGGGGAATCAGGAGATATAGCAATATTGTTGCTTTGAAACTGGCATATTGCTAGTTTAGATTAGTAACTATACCTTCATAACTATTACTTTAAATTAATACTCATGGATGATTGAAGGTTTCCAAAAATGAATTTTCAAGCGCAAACATATTCTAACTTTTTAAAAAGAGCGATACCATTCCAGAAACCTGTGTAGTTCCAATTAAATAGTTCCTTCTAACTCTACTCTCCTCGTTCCAATGTCACAATTGTTAAACATGAACTTAAAAAATAGATTGAGAATTCTGTTTATCCAACCTTAACTGACTTCTTAAGCTAATTTTAAAATGCATATTTTTTCGTTCCAGATGATAGTGAATCATAGATGTTATTATAATATTCATAGCTGGAGCTAAGAACTTTTCCTTTAGTTGAAACAAATACCTTTGTAGTTCTGGAGTGTTTCCTTTTTATGCCCAGATATGTGTGACACTGAAGTTGTTGAAGATCCAGCTAATTGGTTTTATAGAAATATACAGCATTGCATTCAGCGGGCTTACCCCCTTGTAAGTATTAGAGGATTGCACTCTCAGTCAAAGTATGGTTAGATCAATGCAACAACAACAACACCACTTTTATTATTTAAACCCTGCCCATCTGGCCGGGTTTCTCCAGCCACTCTGGGCGGCTTCCAGCATATAAAAAATCATAATAAAACATCATTAAAAACTTCCCGATACAGGGCTGCCTTCAGATGTCTTCTAAAAGTTGTGGATCTGCCCTTGAAACCACAGCTGGTACAAAGTGCTGCAACCAGAATAGCTTACGCTTTTCTGTCCGTATTATACCAGTCATATTTACATTGCACTGGCTTCAGATTTTTTCCCAGCCCAATCAAGATGCTAGTGATCATAGCCTTGGATGGCCTGGGGCCAGGGTATTTGAAGAACATCATCCTCCTGCTGTCACTTGTGATGGTCTTCAGAGGCCCTGTGCTATGCTATGCCACCAGAGAGGTGCAGTTGGTGGGACAGAGAATGGGGGACAGCACTTCAGTTATAAGACAGCCTACCCATGCAACCTGGAGAGGTCAGGCTGACACCACCTCTGCTTTATATAGGTGGCCAGCTAAGATATTTAATGCAATTTAATATTTCAGGGTGGCTTTTAATGCTCTCTGGTTTTTAATTGTGTTGAGAGTTTTTTAAAACAGTAATTTAAAAAGTGGGGGCATGGGAAAAGTAACGCACACACAGAGAGAACTAAACCACATATCTAATGTACCGTGTAATTTGGTCCTTAGGCTTTGTTTGTGTGGCGAATAAGGACTAGAGGGACAAAGGATCTAAGTAATAGGATGTTAAGAGAGTGGTATCCCTGTTTTGCTGCTTTGGGTGGTTTTGCGTTCTTTGGGTGGATAGCCATCATGTTGCAGGTTTCCAGAAATATAAATATTTGTGTTTTTCTTTTGCAATGGATTTTTTTTTTAAAAAATGACACTGCACAGACCATTATGTAACTTGTTGACATAGCTTTTTAAAACCTGTATATGACAGTGTTTGTTATGCCCTACAGCCAAAACAGTTAATTACTTATTCCTCCCCCTGCCTTGCTCCCTATATTTGGGCTCTCTCCAAGTCAGATTACTTATGGCTCCACTTGACCTTCAAGGTACGCTCTTATTTACCTTGTAATTGTGTTTAAAAAATGGACTCTTTTTGGGCGGCAGGCACAATTCTCTCTCTCTCTCTCTCTCTCTCTCTCTCTCTCTCACACACACACACACACACACACAGTGTGTGTGTTTTGCTTTTAAGCCATATAAGGGATATTTATTGATTGGTGGCTAAAGAAATTTAATGAATAATAAAACAAAACAATAATGGGTCAGATTCAAATAATCAGTTTCAATAGTAGAAGGCAGGACCCCCAAAGGAGACATTAGGAGGCAAGATCAAGGTGCAAGCCCAAAGTCAGGGCTTCAGGGTAATGAAGGATACAGGAATATGCCAGAGATCATGCTCCTTAAGCAAGGCACAGCTGGACTAAGAAAAGCTGAGACTTTATATCCCTTCCTGTCCAGAAAGTCTAATAGCCAGCCTAGGTGAGTGCCAGCTGTCCAAGGCCTGAGACGGCTGCCAGCTGCAGTTCACATTTGCACATGGAGCCCGGCAGCGCTGTGCGTCGTGCTAGCTTGAATGATGGAAAGTTTTTTGTGTGTCGAGGTCCCCAGGGCCACCCCAATAACTCACACATCACGCCAAAATTTTAGTTTAAGGTTTTGGCATAATTTTGGCCACAACTTTTTAAAAATACAAACATGTGAGTGGTTGCTTAGGCATTGGTTGCAACTAGCTGCCCCCACCGTGGGGGACAGTCTGTCATTCCGCATGCCTGCGAAAGTCAGAAAAGGGGAATACACTTGGGGGTAGCGACGGAGCAGGGAACCTGGCCTCACCCCAAATGCAACCAGGAGCTCATTGCTATGGCCCGAGCCCCTTTGACAGAGTGGACAAGCAATAGTTAGCCCCCGATTCCTTTAACGGAATCCCTTGCAGCAGCAGCATTAGAGGGGCAGGCACAGCCAATCCATGCCCCTCAACCAACCAAACCATAAACCAATGCCTAACCGCAACCTTACAAGTTGTGACAATTTGCTACGCAGTAGGCAAAAACCAAATGGCCCCAGCCAATCAGCCAGATGGACAAAATTCCTACCGGGCCCCTGCCCCAAGAGCAGACGACCCCATGACAGGCATAGCAAGGTCAAGCGAACAACCCTAATTCTAGGGAGGGGGGGACGGGCAATCCGATGCATGGGCGAAAAGAGGAAGTCCTAGCCTCGTGCAAGGCGTTTTAGCATTTCTGGCTGTCAATCAACAAATGGCAACATTAACTTCTTCCCAACGACAAGGGAAGCCCAATCGCATCAGTGGCCAACGGTCAATTAGCCCGCCCCCAACTTTGGAGTGTCCTGGCGGCCCCCACCGCAACACGTGCTCTCCATGAAGGAGAACACGCTTTCCGTGTGTCTCCAAAGTTTAGCGTGATTTCAGGAAGAGCCTCAATTCTTCTCCTGAATTCTGGGGGGGGGGGGGGGAGTGTCTTTCTCTCATTTATTTACTTATTTAATTTTTAATTTGTATACCATCTTTCTATCTTACAATATTCAAGGCGGTTTACAAGCTGAAGAAACAAAAAAATGTGCATCTTATAAGAATCTAATGCAATACAAAAATGTGATAATAAAACATAACTTTAAAATAGGCAACCTACATCAAAAAAGTAACATTCAACAATCATCAGAATAGTATTAAATAATAACAACAACATATAAAAGTTAAACAGAAATCCACTCAACAGTTACAATAAATAATTTACAAACTGTGATCAATAAAACAACGGCAAGCCACAGTTCATAAAATGATGCAATACAAATTGAGAAGCAGAGACTGGAGGGTGGAGCAAGGCAGGTGGAAGGAGGCCTTGCCTGATGCAGTCTCTCCCCTTGTTGACTTTGGAAGCGCTTGAAGATACCTAGATGGTGTTTCTCGGATGTTTGGTTTGTAGTCAAGGAGAGACACTTCACACCTGTAGCGGGTGTGTGGGTGTGGGTGTGGCCTTTCTTCTCAAGAGACATGCCTGATCTGTAATGGAGACTCTCCTCCCTTCTCTGAGTGTGGTTCCCTCCATAGCTCAAGTGGAAACCAGCTGGAGTCTTAGTATTGCTTGGGTATCAAGTCCAAGCTGCTCTCCTTGCCCATAACACCCTTCTGCACAGGCACCAAATTAAAAAGAAGCTTTCACCAAGTGATGAGCATGCTTGAGGAACGTCAGAATATTCTGAAGCCTGCATGTCTTCTCTCATCTGACCTTAAAGAGCCTGAAAGTTTTCCAAGACTAAAAAGGAGAATAGGGGGTAACTTGCTTGCCCAGGGGCAATTCTTCCTTGCCTCCAGTGACATGATTATTATTATTATTATTATTATTAATAATAATAATAATAATAATATTTATACACCACCTCTCTGGCTGGGTTTCTCCAGCCACTTTGGGCGGCTTCCAGTACATAAAAAATTGTAAAACCTTAGACATAAAAAAAAAATCCTGATGTGGGGCTGCCTTCAGAGGTCTTCTAAAAGTCAGATAGTTGTTTATTCCCTTAATGGGAGGGTGTTCCTCAGGGCGGGCGCCACTACCGAGAAGGCCCTCTGCCTGGTTCCCTGTAACTTCGCTTCTCGCAGTGAGGGAAGCGCCAGAAGGCCCTCAGTGCTGGACCTCCGTGTCTGGGTAGAATGATGGGGGTGGAGACGCTCCTTCAGATATACTGGACTGAGGCTGTTTAGGGCTTTAAAGGTCAGCACCAACACTTTGAATTGTGCTCGGAAACGTACTGGGAGCCAATGGAAGTCCATCAAGACCGGTGTTATGTGGTCTTGGCGGCTGCTCCTAGTCACGAGTCTAGCTGCCGCATTTTGAATTAGTTGTAGTTTCTGAGTCACCTTCAAAGGTAGCCCCACGTAGAGCGCATTGCAGTAGTCCAAGCGGGAGATAACTAGAGCATGCACCACTCTGGTGAGACAGTTCGCGGGCAGATAGGGTCTCAGCCTGCGTACCAGATGGAGCAGGTAAACAGCTGCCCTGGACACAGAATTGACCTGCGCCTCCATGGACAGCTGTGCATCCAAAATGACTCCCAGACTGCGCACCTGGTCCTTCAGGGGCACAGTTGCCCCATTCAGGACCAGGGAATCCTCCACACCTGCCCGCCTCCTGTCCCCCAAAAACAGTACTTCTGTCTTGTCAGGATTCAACCTCACTGAGTTTAGTGCTCAACTCTCCCATTAAAATCTTTTGGATTTCACCCACCTTAAGCTGGCTAGGTTTTGAAAGTGCTAGAGTTCAACTGGATCATGCCACTGCATTGAAACAGGCAAATAGTCAAATTTGGCATAACATTAAAAACAAAACAAAAACATATTTTAGCCTAGCTGGGACTGCAGCTTCAGTCACGTGATCTGGCAGGGCCTTCCTTTCTTTGAAGCCATGTGCCAGAAAGCAGTATCCAGTGTTCTGGCTTAGCTACCAGGTTTTATATTATTAAAAGAGAACATAAATTATCATTTTGTGGTCTAGAGTAATAAAAAATGCAAGTTGTCAGTTTCTTCCTTAGTTCTGTACAAGACTGAATTGTGAATGAAGCACGCACATTAAATTTTGTCTGAGGAAAGATGCATATATAATTTAATTTGCATATATTAAAAGCTTAGTTTCATTAATGATTTAAGATTCTCTTACATTTGGAAGCCTTCTGCATCCCCCCCCCCCAATTGAGCTGCTCAGTCTCTGGAGTTGGTAGTATTACTTATGCATTATAAAATTATATTGGTTATATTGTTGGAGCTTTCTTTCTCCCTCACTTAAAAATAACTGGTTTGGGGTCTTATTAAGCAGGATGATGTTAGCATTCTGCAAGCAATTTTAAGGAGCATGCTGGGATGTCAGCTAGTTAAATAAATATAAATGAAGGACTATGTATATGTGTAGGGACGTGGGTGGCGCTGTGGGTTAAACCACATAGCCTAGGGCTTGCCGATCAGAAGGTCGGCAGTTCGAATCCCCGCGATGGGGTGAGTTCCCGTTGCTCGGTCCCTGCTCTTGCCAACCTAGCCGTTCGAAAGCACGTCAAAGTGCAAATAGATAAATAGGTACCGCTGTGGCGGGAAGGTAAACGGCGTTTCCATGCACTGCTCTGGTTCGCCAGAAGCAGCTTAGTCATGCTGGCCACATGACCTGGAAGCTGTACGTCGGCTCCCTCGGCCAATAAAGCGAGATGAGCGCCGCAACCCCAGAGTTGGCCATGACTGGACCTCATGGTCGGGGGTCCCTTTACCTACGTATATGCGTTTCTATCTATGCATTGGGTTGCCTACATGGTGCCCTGTGGGCGCACATATGGCCACAGTGGTGTACCCCAGAGGCTACTGGGTTCTCTTCTTCCCTCCTCCCTCTGTTAAATTTGACTTCTGTTGACTTGCATGTCAAACATTTGTACTTCTAAATGTTCAAAAACTTTAAACACAGAATAGGAAGTTAGACCCACATTAGAGTAGGAACTCCTGTCTTTGGTGGTAAATTTTATTTTTATTTTTAAAACATTTGTACACCCACTGGAACAAAACAAACAAAAAAAGCCCAAATATGGAACAACCCTTCCCCTGTCCCACCCCCCTCTCAATGACCACTTGGTGAATACAGCTTGAGACGAAAAAAACATGTATGACATGCTTATGACTACACAGAAGAAAGCTCGAATTGTTGGATTGTCTTCTGTAGAAAATCATGTCCCAGAGCTGAAAAAAGGATTGTGACATACTTAGCTGCTCTTTATTTGCTTTCACTTAATGGACGCCAGACTGCAAAGAACTCCTTTAGTTGAGTTTCTCTTCTCCTTTGCCAAGTTTTATGGTGAAATTCAATTTTTGTGCCATAGCGATGGTGTATAGTCTATGTTGCCATGCACCAAAGGCTAAAGTAAAATCTGCCAGTTAGCAGTTTTTGACACTCTCCAATCTAGCTGCCAGCAGCAAAAAAAATAAAAAAATAATAATTAAGGACTTGTATGTTGTATCTTCATTTTAGCGAGAAGTGTTGAATGCAGAGATAGATGTATATTCTGTTTTGTGACTCTTGCTGTTTCTTTGAAAATCACAGACCAGTAAGAAAACACTACAGGACAGTTCCAACACATGTTTGCGTAAGACTGCTGTACCTCACATCCCCTCCAACAGTTGTATTCTTTAGAGCCAGATGTATGCACTAAATGCAAGGGTAAATAAACTAAACTAAAAGCAGATAAATCCATTTTAAAGAACACTCCCTGGCCATTTCAGAAGTGGGTATGACTAGTTCCAGATACTTGACTGTGCCTCATCTGAAATTACTTGATCTATCTCTTGTTCCCAAACTCCCTCTAATGAGGAGAACGAGTTTGTTGTTTTATCGTTCAATAAAGAGCATATCTTTGAAACTAATACTTTTGTACTGTGTTCATATTCTAAAATTAAGTGCTCAAAACCAGTTAAGTCCCTTTGCACAGATTTCTTTATTGATGTTTCCATAATGAAATTATGTGCTTAGTGAAGTTTGAGCCAATTGATGTGCAGTCTTTGCAATTTATTGACTCATTTCTCTATAGATAGGGGTTGCCAGTATTCAAAAAAAGTCTCATGAACTGTGAAACCCTCTGCTAGACCAGTCGTTAAACTGAACCAGCTTGTTTCAACAGTAGAAGTTTAATTCCAGTGGAAGCAATGGAGACATATCTTTCATGAGTTTCTATCTCTATTTCTTTCAGACCAGAAGAGTAGCCTTTGGAAATGGGTTCTGGATTTCATTTATCATACGGAATTATTCCTGGCCTAACACAAGAATTTCAAGTTTTGACTTGTCTATTTTAGCAATTTCCATGTTTAGCTATGGGCTATTAATATCATCAGGTACACAGGATATTATATTATGTAGCTGGAAAACTTCATAGTATGTCAAAAGACTTTTAGAAGACATCTGAAGGCAGCCCTGTTTAGGGAAGCTTTTAATGACTGATGTATTACAGTATTTTAATATTTTTTTGGAAGCGCCCAGAGTGGCTGGGGAAGCCCAGCCAGATGGGCGGGGTATAAATAATAAATTATTGTTGTTGTGTTCTCCCCAATCTGGCTGCTTGGCATGTTTGTAGTGTATCGTGCCTGAGAGTTGAGGCCTCACACTTGGTTGGTTGGCATCTGCCTGTCTTGGGAGACAGTGGAGGAGTGTTCCTTCAGGGATGAAGTCAGATTGTTGGAGAGTTACAGTGCCTGCTGTGGCTGTAGAGACCGATATGGGAGAGACATGTTTTGTTGCAGCTGGGGCAGAAGAAGGCATCCGGTTGTGCTGCTATAGATGCATCATGGCATTTCTTCTCTCTGCGCTCCTCCCAGCAGTCATTCCTCCTCTGGTCACTGCTGTGGATATACCACCTGACTGTCTCCAGGCTCTGTAGTCATCTGCAAGGGATTGCTGTCTTCGTGCCACGTTTGCAGACATCTTTGTAACAGAGTTGGTCTGCCAATGGGTCATGTGCCTGAAACCAGGCCTCACGTGAAAATGTATATATTTAGAAAACATTTTTGCCAATTTAATGTATTTTAGTTGGTAGGATTTGAAAGGGGGGGAATGATTTTGGGGAGAAGGATAATTGTAGAAACATTTATTCAACCTTATACAAAGTTTGCGATTTCCATCTATTTAGTTCCTTTTTACAAAGTATACATGTGATGCAAAGATTCAGCTGCAATAGTTCCTTTAGATTTTTGGAAATCGTTACCCCCAGTTAACAAACTGTTTTGTTGTACAGTGGAAAGCCATATTTACTCTGTTATTGTCTCTGTTGCCCTGGTGGGGTATTTACAGGTAAAATACCACAGTTGCTGTAATTTTTAAACTACAATCTTTTCAGAGCCTTCTATCTCGTTGACTAGGGCAGGAATTGTCTTCAGAGCATCTGTTGTCAGTATTGCTATGTCAACTGCAGGTAAAAAATCTTTATGTTCCTGCTTGTTTACCATTAGGCCCGGTGTCTATTTTTATGGATGCCAAAGATTCTAGAGAAGCAACCAAAAGTGAGGGGGACGGGGGCATCCTGTAAGTCTCAAAGCCACAGTAGTCATATCCATTTACCTCAAACCTTCATTGTAGTTGGGTTATATGGGGAGAGGGCGAGAGAGTGCTTGAATAAGCTATGTAAAACAGATACTGGGAGTTTGATCTATAATGGTCTTGGCTACAAACTGTAATAACAATACAATACAATAAAATTCAGTTTTAAAAAGCTGTTGCCAAGGTTCAATCTAAGTGGTCAAAAGCTCTGTGGGCATCCAGTGACATGATGCCCAGCGGTTGTGTTATATCTTACTGTAGTGTGTGATGCTTTGTTGTTGTTGTTTAGTCGTTTATTCGTGTCCGACTATTCGTGACCCCCTGGACCAGAGCACGCCAGGCACTCCTGTCTTCCACTGCCTCCCGCAGTTTGGTCAAACTCATGCTGGTAGCTTCGAGAACACTATCCAACCATCTCATCCTCTGTTGTCCCCTTCTCCTTGTGCCCTCCATCTTTCCCAACATCAGGGTCTTTCCCAGGGAGTCTTCTCTTCTCATTAGGTGGCCAAAGTCTTGGAGCCTCAGCTTCAGGATCTGTCCTTCCAGTGAGCACTCAGGGCTGGTTTCCTTAAGAATGGAGAGGTTTGATCTTCTTGCAGTCCATGGGACTCTCAAGAGTCTCCTCCAGCACCAGAATTCAAAAGCATCCATTCTTCGGCAATCAGCCTTCTTTATGGTCCAGCTCTCACTTCCATACATCACTACTGGAAAAACCATGGCTTTAACTATACGGACCTTTGTTGGCAAGGTGGTGTCTCTGCTTTTTAAGACGCTGTGTGATGCTTAGTATCATCCTAATAGAACTTGTGCAGTTCTTTAACTTTGCTTACTTTTAAAAAGATCAAACAGCCTATATGTTTGGAACAAAGGTGAAAATTCGCTTGGACACCAGACATTTTGTGAAGTTTTGGACGAAACTGAAACAGAAGGAGATACAATAAAAACAGTGGTTGGACATAGGGTGAAGTTGAGAATGCAAGAATAACTTGGAAAATAACAAGGAAGTTGTAGTTACAACCCAAACAAAATGCTACGCTTGTCCAAAGGAATGTCAGAATATCTGCAGGTCTTCACAGAGAGCAACCAGTTAGTGAATACTATTTGTGATGAACCTGATAAAGGAGGAGGATAAGGATGCGGTGTTGCATGTAACACGTGGATTAAAAAGAAGGAAACTGAGCAAGGTGGAATCTCTTCATGAATGGCCCCTCTTCATAAACGGCCAGATTCTCCAGGTAATGTTGGTGATACAGTAAGGCTTCATATATCAGATGTTGATTGGAGCAGAACTAGTACAAGAGGTATTGTGGTATTGATCATGTCAGTTGAAGATGGACAGTGCTGTCAACTAGGCACCAAAGGGGGGAAGCCAAAGCACCTTTTCAGTTGGAACAACTTTCCATTTCTTTCTTGAAAATGCATTAGCAGTTTGGAGAAGCAGCTCCTGTCAGACGAGTTCTGAGAGAAATAGCAACGCGGCAGTCATTGACTTGTGGACAGGGTTATCAGCGGTGGCACTCGAAAGCAAAGGACTTGACAAACATGTATAAATGCTTGGCTATGAATGTGCTGCTCACCGCAGAATGTCACAGTGGCTGTTGCAACTTACCAGTAAAGGATATCTTGTCAGGGAAGAGAACAGGGTGCAAATCATCATCATCATCAATTGGAAGTGACATTCATTACTGCACTCATATGGATTCTGTGTTCAGCCCTATAATTTCATAACAGTTTAAATCTGAACAATTCTAACATGTTGACCTGTTAAATATGTTAAATGTTGACCTGCGAACCTGTAACCACTTAGCTGCACTGAACTCGGTGGGACTTACCTCTGAGTAGACATGTGTAAGATTGCACCGTTAGTCTTGTTTATTTAAGAAAATCTCTTGGTACGTCCACCTGCGTATTTTTGGGATACAAACGTGCCAAACCTGGAAGTATACTTCCGGGTTTTCGGTGCTTGCACATGCTCAGAAACGGCGCCTTTGCTTACGGACTTTTTGGGTTGTGGACAGACCCCCAAAACGAATTAAGTTTGTATCCGGAGGGTCCACTGTATTAAAAGAAAAAAATCCTGAGTTGCATCCAATGGTGTTACTCCTTTGATAGCAAGGCAGAATGGGAACTGTTTTCAAAACATACATGATACTAGGAAGGGGGAGGTATGGGCTCTATTAAAGAGAGGGTGGTTGTGGTATTATTCAGTTCTGCACATAAGACATGCCATTTGTCAAAAAAACCACCTACCCTTTTACTGTAAGAGTGTGTGGACAGGTGATTGCTGCTCAGTAGTGCAGCAAAGCGACACATGCTCACATTGAATAAATGCAAGCATTAATTGGTGACGAGCTGAACATTTTGACTTATGAATGCATAGAAAATTTAATACTTTAATAGGTCTTCTTCTTTGGTTATCACTAGTAGCCGAGTAAGATTGTCTTCCATAAACACGGTTTTAACAATGAGTCTGTAAGTGACTGTGGAGGCCAATTCTGGACCCACACGTCCTTCCACAGTGGGGACATTGGTTCCCAGGCAGGAGTTGATCACGGTGTGGATTTGCCAAGCGTGCCTTCCTCTTAGCACGTTTCTCCCTTGTGTTCTGAGTCTGAGTGTCTTCAAAGCCCATGACACCTTTGGTGAAGGCTGTTCTCGATTTGACACTTCTGGTGGGATGTACACATCTTGAAATGACATTTGTTAGAAAAACAAAATAAAAATACGAGTGTAGAAGAGGACGGGAGTAAAATGCTGTCTTAAGAAAGAAAGAAAAGGTGCTTGGAATAAAATTTATTCCAGGCCAAATGTGTTTTGGAAGAGACATTTCTGCAGAACTACATTTTTAGTGGAGATTCTCACCAAATTCCTGGGACACTTCCAGCAGGAGTTGTCTGCCATCGATGCTCCCCCTGTTTTGTGCTTGTCTTTTCTATAAGTAGTGTACCATGGTAACCAGGAGATCAACTTTTAGGATAATTATAGATCTGAAAACACTGCGTAACATTATTAATATGGTATAAGTAGTGTGATAGCATTTGCCACGTCTACTGTAATCTATTTATTTTAAGCATTTTAAACCCCCTCTTTTAGTCAAGGCTTCCAGAGCAGCTTACAAAAACTCTTGGATTCCCTTCCTTCAGGCTTGCATCTAAAGGACATGGTGCATAAGGGGAAAAGGGGAGTTAAGGAGATTCAGGCATTCCTTCTTAACAGTTGTTACACTGACCCGCTGGGGTGGTAGCCTGATATAATGATTGCCACTAGGTGAGAGTTGAGTGAGAGCCAAGGGCATCTTGTTGTTCAGCAGCGGCGATGGATGTTTCTCCTCTCTTCTGTTTTGCAGCCTGGTGTAATTAAAGAACTTGTTTGTCATTCAATACATGGCATGGGCATCCTAAACACAGATGCCCTATGAGAAAAGTCATGTGCTGTTGTACAATCCTTGGCACCTCCCTTAATAGCATGTCACCAGTAAATCTATCCTGTAGACCTAGCCTCACACTGGTATCTATCTAAGCAGTCTCAAGAGATCAGCTTGGCCAGAGTTTGGTATCAGAATAGCTATTGCTCAGTGGTGTCCGTTATGTATCACAATAAACTTGTTTTCTTTCTGAAGTTCTTTGCAATGCAGAACTTTGACCCCTTGTTGCAGTCCTTTTTCTCACAGTCAGTCAGATACTGTTCCCGTGATGTTTTGCAGTTGTTCAATGCAAGTGTGGAATTGGGCAGTTGTTGTTTAGTCGTGTCCGACTCCTCGTGACCCCCTGGACCAGAGCACGCCAGGCACTCCTGTCTTCCACTGCCTCCCGCAGTTTGGTCAAGCTCATGTTGGTCTCTTCGAGAACACTGTCCCACCATCTCGTCCTCTGTCGTCCCCTTCTCCTTGTGCCCTCCATCTTTCCCAACATCAGGGTCTTTTCCAGGGAGTCTTCTCTTCTCATGAGGTGGCCAAAGTCTTGGAGCCTCAGCTTCAGGATCTGTCCTTCCAGTGAGCACTCAGGGCTGATTTCCTTAAGAAATTGGGCAGTGGCTTATGTTAAATCCAGCAGTTTATGTTAAATTTTATCAAACTTTTTTCAAAGTAAGTTTCTAGCCCTTTTAGCTGTGAGCATAAGCTTGAAAGTGTTTACAATACCTGGTAAAATATCAGAAGTCAGAAGTGGGGAGGGAGCAATAGTTTCAATGGGGAGAACTTCAGTTCAGTGGTGTGATTTAGCTCTTTACTCCTCCCTATGACTAGCAGCAGCAGAATAAATTAGGGAAGTAAGAAAATATATGGAAATATAACCTGATTTGCATAATGATTGCACACTAGTCAGTAGTAGCGCAACGAAAAGCATTTATCACTACTCCAGGCCATTCTCGTGCAGTTTTTCAGAAGATATTTTGAGATGAAATTCTTAAATTCTTTACTCAAAATATTTTGTGCTGTAATATTGGGACGGTGTGACTGTTTACCACATGTATATGTTTGTTCATACATGAATGCCGTTCCACAGGCAGGCTAACGTCGTGTTGTCCACTGGTTGGTTTCTGCAAAGTGTGGGTGGCTTTGGTAGTCTTTGGCTGGCTTCCCCTGTGGGAAGGGGCCAATTCCAGGATCTCTTAGCAGAGGTCCTTGGAGTATCTCCAAAGTGCACTGCGAACTCAGGTATGATCCCCAGCCCATCATATCTTAGAGCTGAAAAGTGGGGCATAGGACTTGTCAGGCTTACCAGATGCTCACCATGGTGAGCATATTTATGAACTTCTAATTGCTTAGTCTAATAAGAATGGGTAAGTATTTAAGAATTGACATGTAAATTGCACTTTGCAGAAGACAATTACTTGTAGTAAGAATGCATGTCACTTATCTATTACAAGATTTAATGAAAACATGTTTGGGTTTTCCTGCAGCTTGTGGGGGAAGGGAGGGCTGAAAGGCCAAATTTCCTTTCAGATTGAATGAATATTCCTGTAATAATATACTATAGTCACATCAGCAGAAGTCCTGACAAGTTATTCTATATTAAAAGTGATCGCATCCGACTCATCAAATGAAAAGCCAGCAAGTCTTGTCTTCTGGCTGAATAAATGGACCTACAGTAGACTTTTGACCCTATAACTGAAATGTTGCATTCTTTGAAGATGCAATATAACAACAACAGCACAGCAGCTGCTTTGTTGATCTAAATGCAGTTAATGAATTTGTGTGTTAGAACCTGTTCTACTACGATTATCTTCAGGCAGATTGTGTCCCAATATTTTATTAATAAATTTCAAATATTTGTACATAGGAAAGAATAATATATCGAAAATAATTACATAAATAGAACAGTGTTGTTGTATGAATGTTTGGCAAACAAAGTTAAAAGAATGGGGTTTTTTGGGTAGTTTCCTTGCTGGGACAACATGGCATGAATTTTAGCTTACTTTTATAATCTTTTTGGTTTATCTTTTAATAATGTTTTATGGTATTTTGTGTAAAGGCATGGACCTCACAAATTTAATAAATTTGTTGTTGTTTGTTGTTTGTTAAGAATGGAAACTTAAACACTAATACAGTGGTGGAATAAGCAAAATTATGAAAAGTAGCAACAAGCTAGACAGAGCAAGGGCAACTATGGATGGACGGAAAATGTGAGGTGCAATGCTGGGATTCCATTCCATGGACGGCAGCAGTCTTCAAACTCCTCTATGGACGAGGTTAACCAGACCTTTAGCTGATACATCTGGGCTCAGCTTGGAACTGCCGGAACTGACTTAGCTGCCTCTCCAGTGCCTGGTTGCGGTAGTACATCTCCACATACCTGGCCTGCATCTCTCGCTGATAGCACAGGACTATTCTCTTCTCCTCTTCCCAAGTTTTCCGCTCCTGCTCAAAGCTTGCCTCTTGCAGCTGGGCCTGGCGCCTCTCGCGCAGCAATTCTCCCCATAGCCATTCAGCGCCCTCTGCACTCCCCCCCTTCACCCCCCTACTTTTAGAGCCATCTGTTACACAAGCCAAAATGTCCTGGCGTGCTTGCATGGGAGAGTCCCGTGGAGGAGCAGGGGAGCCACGCTCAAGGTTTGGGAAGAGTCCCCCAATTGTGCCACTTGCGAGTCCTCGGCTTGCATCTCTGTTTGGACTTCCCGCAGCTGTGTTTTCAAGCTGAAGATTTCACCCTGTTTCTGGGCCATCTCCTCCTGGGCATCTGGGAACTGCTGCTTGAGCAATGAAATCCCTGCAGTCTTCTGACAGACGTCCCACTGGGTCTCCTCCAATATGGGACTCAGGCGCTCTGCCTGTTGGTGCTGGAGCCTCAGCTCCTCGCACTGCCTCTGCTGACGGTCCAGCTCTTCTTGCAGCCGTTTCTCTTCCTGCTGAGCTTTGTAGAGCTGCAGCTGAACCTCCTGCTTCAGTTCATCCAGCTCATCCATCCACAAACGCCATTTGTCCTCAAACATCTGTGTGAAGGGATCATCATTCTCAATCAGATTTCTCTCCAGGCCCTTCTCAGTCAGCCGGTCCTCGAGCTGCTTCACCACATCTTCCAAGGAGTCTGTGGGTTCATTCAGAGGGTGTGGTTCCCCAGAGCTCTGCAGGGGTCTCAGGCTCTTGCAAGACAGAGGTGTTTTGTCTACAGCCAAAGGGTCGCGTGGCCCCTGAGAAGCCCTGTCTAAGGAGTCGCCAGTGTGGTTGTTGTGGCCTGCGGAAGCATTGAGCTGGGTTGGAGCAGGTTTGAAACATGGAGTGTCGGTGGGGAAGCTTTGGATAGAGTTCGTGCTCTCATCCAGGCTGATGGTGTGCAGCAGGTGACTGCGGAGAGGGCTGTGTTGTGAGGAGCTGCTGGTGCTGTTCTGGGTCAGGCTCCTGTTGCTCTTGGACAGCTTCTGGCCTTTGGCTGATGACCGCCTCGGCATGCACAACAGGCTCTTCCATGATACCAAGGCAGAGGGTCTGATCCGACACCTGTTGAAGCATCCATGTTCAGGCAATGAGCTCTTGGAGAAATCAGCTGCCTGTTGATGGTCCCGGAAATACCGCTCGGGGGGTTGGTTCTCCTGGTCACTCTCATAGTCCCTTTTCAAGCCACCTCCAGATGACTGGTGCTTCTTCTCGGCCCGGGTGTCCCGCTTGCCCCCATGGAAGTAGCCAAAAACTCCACACTGTGACGTTCCTTTCCGGAGCAGCCCGTCTGGCTGACGCATGCCACGCAGACCTCCTGCAGAAGTCGGCAAGAAATCCCGTTTCTCTACTCGGCCGCCCACGTTGCCCATGCTGCCGTCGTTGTCCGGCTCAGAATCCAGAGTGAAAGGATCAAACAGACAATGGCAGGGGTTAACGGTCACATGAGAGGCCTGTTCTGTTGCTATGGAGTTTTAAACACAAGCGGAATGCCAGCACATGATGGCTGCCTGCAGCCTGAGCCCCGGCTAGACTGGGCTGGACTCCATTCTGCGACCTCCTCCTCCTCCTCCTGCAGCTCCTTGGTTGGCTCCATAGTCCCTGTCTTTAAATCCATCCATTTATATATTCATTCTTAGCACTCTTGTTTAGCTGCTAACAACATACCGTATTTTTCCATGTATAAATTTTTTTAGTGAAATATTGTGGGGCGTCTTATACACGGTTGGTGAATGCTGAGGAGTTCCGGCTCTGGCTCTGGTGTGGGCGCCCAAGCTCTGACCTGGGCTTGGGTTCGGTTTGGGCTTTGACACGGGTGCAGGTGGCTTGGGTTTGGGCTCTGGCCCGATTTCTTAATTTTGGGGGCATTTTATACACTGAAAAATATGATATTCTTTCAACACATTGTTTTGTGTGTGTTAATTAAAAATAACCCATTTGCAATTTTTCCAACTTGGGATTATATATAATTATATTGTTACCTTGCTGTATAATTTCAGAAGTTCATTTATACCGCTTTTGGGGCATTACCATTGGCTATGGTACATTGCAAAACCCATAGTTGGACATTGATTCTATGGATGTACAGTGGTGCCTCGCAAGACGAAAAGAATCCGTTCTGGGAGTCTCTTCGTCTAGCGGTTTTTTCGTCTTGCGAAGCAAGCCCATTGATGGGATTAGCGGATTAGCGCTATTAGCGGCTTTTAGCGGCTTTTAGCGGCTTTTAGCAGCTTATCAGCTTATCGGATAAGCAGATAAGCGGCTTAGCGACTTAGAAAAAGAGGGGGGAAAGGGAAAAAAAAACCCAGGAACTCGCAAGACAGTTTCATCTTGCGAAGCAAGCCCATTGCAGATTCGTTTTGCGAGGCACCTCCAAAACGGAAAACTCTTTCGTCTAGCGAGTTTTCCGTCTTGCGAGGCATTCGTCTTGTGGGGCACCACTGTAATGGCTCATGAGAGGGGAGTTGGAGGGGGTGGCTGGTGGCCATGGCTTCCACTGCAGTCAGCTTTATTGTACTACCCAAAGGCCATGACAAAACCATTCAAACACTATCCACATGTCTTTCACTGACTTGTCCCAACTTTCACAGGAAGTCCTCCCAATATTTTAAATTCCACACCATGTTTTCTATGTCATCCAAGAGGAGATTTTCACCAAACTTTTTCTACTGAAGTCTTTGATGATGATGACGACGACAATGACGACTACTACTCCTGCTACGACTGCTACTACTACCACAACTATTAATACATTTATTTATATGCTACACCTTCCTCCAGAAGAGCCCAGTTTGACAACTGACAGGGCTATTAATTAGTCAGATGAAGATGGAGGCAAGGCAGCCTTAAGATTCAGGGGCACAAAATGCTGGTAGTTGAAAAGAAAAGGCTAGAATAAAGGGCAAGTGTAGTTTCTTCTGGTTGTTGACCAGAAATAAATTATTTGGCCACCAAGTCAATCATAACGACTGGGTGTGTAGACGGCTGGCTGAGGCCCATTGTCTGATTAATTCACAAAAAATGCTGTGTCTGGCAAATTAGCCTTGGCGTGATTTCCTACAGGGCTCACAAGTGCAAGTTGTAGTTGCTGCACCTTGAAGTAATGATTGTAGTAATGAACTCTGAGTAGGTAGACACTGCTTGCGATCATATCTTGCTGATTCAATACTAGTACTTACCATGCGCTGCAGGGTGGATTCTAGACCGTTTGCTGTCTTTGGTACTTGGCACACATGCTAAAGGTTTTGGACTATACCGTCACTTGTAGTTTCCCTTGCATTGCCTTTGAGTTTATTTATAAATTAAGTTGCTTTTGGCCACCCTTTGATCGTACAGTTCCAAGGCAGGTTACAACACAATTCCAATAAAACTGAAAGTAGGTTGTCAGGGAACTGACATCGGAGCGAGAGGCGAAGGGGAGGCTCCTAGATGATGCTGGAGAAGGACCCAGCAGCAGGGGGAGAAACAGCTCAGTAGAGGAGGAAACAAATCAGCGCAACACCAGGGATAAAGGGGGGCAGATGGGGGAATCGGAGAGAGGGCTCCAGGACTCTTCACTGGAACTCAGTGAGGAGGGGACAGGTCCTCCGCTACCCACGCCCTGCCTGCGCAGAAGACTCCCGCGCAGTGAGAGGAGGAGGAGACTGGGTGTCAAACAACTTTTATGTTGGAAGAGGTTCAAGAAACGCCCACTGACGGATTCTGCCAGTGACTGAGGCAGTTGCAATTAGAAAGGGCTGTGCAGTCAGAAAGGTTTAACAAGGCAAATTAGCCTAGAGAGGCACCAGTTTACGCATGAGTAACTCATACTCATCACATAGGTGAAACCATCTCACCACATTTCAACCAGGTAAAAAAAAACCTATGGAATGTCCCATGGTTTATTGCAGAAGTAGACTAAACTGCAGGAGGCAGTGGAAGACAGAAGTGCCTGGCGTGCTCTGGTCCAGGGGGTCACAAAGAGGCGGACACGACTAAACGACTAAACAACACAGACTAAAATCCACAACAGCCTTGGCAAAATGCTAGGTCTTTATCTAACACTGAAACGCCAACAGCATTGATGCAGTTCCTACCTCCAGGAAGAGGGAGTTCCATAATTGGGACGTCGCCATATCCCATGTTACTGCATGAGCTATATCCCATAAGAACCTTATCCTTAAACATTTCATCCCTGTTTGCTAAGGCACTACCCCTCGTAAGCAACTACAGTGCAGTTATCCATGGTTCCGTTGTTTTGGTAAGACCTTGTTCTCATTCTCCATATGAAGGCTGCAGTATGCTTCAAATAATTAAATAATCTACCTAGGTCTTTTATGTCTCCAGTAATCTTTCTGCTGGGCTCTCACGCTCTGCAGATATTGAAGCAGAGCAGCAGGTGATTTTGTGAAAAAGATAAATGAAGCTTTTAACTTGAAAGACTATTCTCTGCTCCTCTGCTTCAATTAAAATAAAATAAAACCCAGGGCTCTTCAGTGCTCTGCAGGCAGCGTTCTGGACAAAGCACTTGGATGAAACCAACTTCTTGCAAACATGTAGAAATCCAGTAGATGGGAAAGTAGACAGAGTGACAGGAGCGACGCAAGGCTTCTGGGGGGACTCTGATTCAGCTTGGGGTGCAACTCAAATTCCTCTAATTTGCCTGGTTATCTGGCACGTTCCTAGTATATGCTTTTAACAGTCTTCTACCTGTGGATAGGGACGTGGCTGGCACTGTGGGTTAAACCACAGAGCCTAGGGCTTGCCGATCAGAAGGTCGGTGGTTCAAATCCCCGCGACGAGGTGAGCTCCCGTTGCTCGGTCCCTGCTCCTGTCATCCTAGCAATTTGAAAGCACATTAAAATATAAGTAGATAAATAGGTACCGCTCCAGTGGGAAGGTAAACGGTGTTTCCGTGCGCTGCTCTGGTTTGCCACAAGTGGCTTAGTCATGCTGACCACATGACCTGGAAGCTGTACACCGGCTCCCTCGGCCAATAAAGCGAGATGAGCGCCGCAACCCCAGAGTCGGCCACAACTGGACCTAATGGTCAGGGGTCCCTTTACCTTACCTGCAGTAGGATATCCTGCAAAGGACACTCCCCCATAAACTGCACGTGGTTTGTATAAGCAACTGGTTGTTGGCATCTGTCTGCCTCTGGACGCAATGGAAGAGTGCTCCTTCAGGGCAAAAGCCTAACTTTTGGGAGAATTACAGCGCCTGCTGTGGCTGTAGAGACCGATGCAGGAGAGACATGTTTTATTGCAGGTGGGGCAGATGAAGGTGTCCTGTTCTGCTGCTGGTGGTGGTGCACCGTGTTGTTTCTTCTCTCTGCAGTCCTCCTAGTGGTTCTCCCTTCTCTGGTTACTGATGTGGATACACAACCTGACTGCCTGTCTCCAGGCACTGCAGTCATCTGCAAGGGATTCCCACACTGCGGGGTTAATGTTGCCAGCCTTTGTGTCTTTGAGAGCCAGTGTGGTGTAGTGGTTAAGAGCGGTGGACTCGTAATCTGGTGAACTGAGTTTGATTCCCCGCTGCTTCACATGCAGCTGCTGGGTGACCTTGGGCTAGTCAGTTTTCTGAAGTCTCTCAGTCCCACTCACCTCACAGTGTGTTTGTTGTGGGGGAGGAAGGGAAAGGAGATTGTTAGCTGCTTTGAGACTTCTTAGGGTAGTGATAAAGCAGGATATCAAATCCAAACTCCTCCTCAAACTCTTCTTCTTCACGTTTGCAGACATCTTTGTAATGCATATATTTGGTCTGCCAACAGGCCCGGTGCCTGAAGCCAACTCGTTGTAGAGCACGTCCTTGAGGATCCTGCCATCTTCCATTCTCTGGACATGACCAAGCCAGCATAGACGTTGTTGAGACAGGAGTGTGGACATGCTAGGTGTGTGGGCTTGGGAGAGCACATATTTGCCTGAGACTCTGTCCTGCCATGTGATGCCCAAAATCTCCCGGACGCAGCACATATGGAAGGCATTGAGGAGCTCCTGTAAACTGCCCACAACTCATAGAATCATAGAATCATAGAGTTGGAAGAGACCACAAGGGCCATCGAGTCCAACCCCCTGCCAAGCAGGAAACACCATCAGAGCACTCCTGACATATGGTTGTCAAGCCTCTGCTTAAAGACCTCCAAAGAAGGAGACTCCACCACACTCCTTGGCAGCAAATTCCACTGTCGAACAGCTCTTACTGTCAGGAAGTTCTTCCTAATGTTTAGGTGGAATCTTCTTTCTTGTAGTTTGGATCCATTGCTCCGTGTCCGCTTCTCTGGAGCAGCAGAAAACAACCTTTCTCCCTCCTCTATGTGACATCCTTTTCTATATTTGAACATGGCTATCATATCACCCCTTAACCTCCTCTTCTCCAGGCTAAACATGCCCAGCTCCCTTAGCCGTTCCTCATAAGGCATCGTTTCCAGGCCTTTGACCATTTTGGTTGCCCTCCTCTGGACACGTTCCAGTTTGTCAGTCACTCACTTCCCTAAAGCAGCATGCTCAACACGCAATCCTGGTAGACCATCTTGATATTGGTTGTTAGCATCACATTCTCCCATACTCTTTTGGAGATGCAAGCCATTGCTGCAGCCGGAGCCCAGGTCGACAGAATTGTCTACCACCTCAAGTGTGCGGTCGCCAATGCTGATGTGTGGAGTGCTGGCGACAGCTTGACCCAGGATGTTGATGTTTGTCAGGTTGATGGTGAAACTGAATTCCATGCAGGGCAAAACAGTTGATGAGTCTCTGCAGAGCTTCCTCACGAGTGTGCTCTCAAGGCTGGGTCATCTGCAAACAACTTCTCTTGTATAAGTACGAATGCATGTACAGCAGGAGCTGGGCAGGAGTATGTTGATTGTACTTAACGTTGGGTCATATGAAGAGGAATCATATGTTTGATTACCGATTTTAGCTTCAACACTGGTAACTACAGATGCTACCCAGCTATATTTCTTGTGTTCTGTCTGAATCAGAAGAGGCAGCTGAGATGCTAGATAGATGTTTAGAGGTAGTGGTGGCCTGGATGTCGCTCAACAAATTGAAACATAGGTCTTAGGTGTTTTAAGTCCTCAAGTCTAGGAGGTGGAAAGGCAGGCTGTTGTGTATGGGGTTGCACTCCCCCGGAAGCAGCAAGTGTGTAGCTTAGGAGTAATACTGGATTATTTCTGGAGGCCCAAGTAACCTTGGTGTGTGGGATTGCCTATATCTAGCTTCAGCTGGTGTGCCAGTGACACCCTCTTTTTGGACAGCATTGACTTGGCCACAGCACTTATGCAGTAGCCAGATTACTGGCTGGGACTGCATTTAGAATGCATATATCCCTTGTTCTGAAACAGCATGGATTTCCAGAAGGTTTCTGAGCCTAATTCAAGCTGATCGCATTGGTGTTTAAAACCGTAAATCAGTTAGGCCCCAAATCTGAGATACCACCTCCTTTTGTACAGACCC